GGGGGTGAGCAGGGTCTCGCTTTTTTGTATCTTTTCGGGTATAGACATCGTGAAACATACCTTAGCCAGTAACTTTCTCTTTATTATTTCCGAAACAATATGTCCATTTTGTCTCACAACATTCTGCAATTTTTTCTCCGTTAAATGCCTGTATAACCACATTTTTCGTAATTGATTTATTCCAATTATTAATTATAATCACTGTTTTTACACAGGTCAGAGGACGAGGAAGTGAAACCGCATGAAAACGAAATGTATACATATTCGGACCCCGCCATGGTAAGGAACAAGAAAACACTTCTTTTCTCTCAAAATAAATTGATTCGGTTTCTTTTGTTTATAATAATTTTTGTAAGGCATTTGACAGTGTTTAGGCATATTGTTTAGGTGTGTGTATTGAATTATTAAAACGATTTCTTTGAAAATGATAAATTTTGGTTTTCCAAGGTAAGAGACCTTTATTTTGCTTTATCTCTCAAATTAAAAACAATTGACCCATCTCTGTGAAGGATGAAAATGATTCCTGCATATTTACACATCAACTCAGAATGCCCCCTGGACAACTAACAGCTAACACAAACACAAACACAAAATTTATATTTCTAAATACTATTTTCAGAATGATCCCATTTATAACGACGGCACAAACACCAGTCATCCGGCTGCTGTCCCCTCCACCGCGGGGCAAGTGAAGGGCGGTGCTTACGAGGTTCCCACCCGCGCGTCTGTGAGCAGCGCAAACAGTTACCAATTTTTACTCAGAGAAAACTCCCTCTACAAACCAACACAAAACACCGACGAAAACCCTTACTATTCCACGGCCGAGGAAAATCAACTCCCTACGGCGCCCAGAAGGGCATCGAACTCAGAGGCTGGCGACTATTCTGACAGAACACCCGTGGAAGGGACGTACTATACAACGACAGATGGCTCCTTACACCATTACACAGAAATTCCAAATGACGTCCACCCAAGTGCATACGAGATTCAGCTCCCGAGCGAGCCTGCGCCCGCGTCACCCCTATCGCCTTCCCAACCAGAATACCTTAACTTGATTGACTATACGGGGAACACGCCCAGGTCTCGCCCTGTGTCTCGGGCTGATCTTGAAGACAGTGGGTATAGTTTGGCCCGCGAGCCTGTTCATGACTATTTTGTGCTCGAGGACCCCAGTGAAACTCAGGGTGCTCAGGGGTCTGGCAGCCAGGTAAATCATGATTACTTTGTGCTGGAGGTGCCCTCACAAAACCAACGACACGTTTTATGATGGAATATTAATGGAGAAGGGATTAAGTTGTACTTACGATTTTTTATTTCACACGGGCGATTACTTAGTGCTGAATCAGGAATTTCACTGTTTCCAATCGCCCTGATTACTTAAATGCCGACGTCCAGCGCTTTCCTAAACGGCAATAATTTTGTGTTAAGTAACATGAACAAGTTGCAGGGGATTTGAATTGAAGCCCCTTCTGAAATGTTCATCAATTTTCAACAATTGTGTACCTTCTGTTACACTGGAAAGCACAATAATTTTATTCTAGACAAAGTCGCCGATACTGGATATTATTCACGTGGTAAATTTGATGGGACATTTTCGAGAAGACTAGTGCGTCTATTTGTCCTTGGTTCTCAGTTATGTCTGCACTACCCGCAGCGTCGGTAAACTACAAACCCTGTAGCGTCAGCGTAACATGGAAGATTTCCCAAATAGGTCCTATATCTACCCTCTATAGCAAAAATTACAAAATTATGTAACAGACTTCTAGTAGACCGTGTGGTCAGAGAGAGAGAGGCGTATCACCCGGACACCCAGCAGGAGGCGTTATATAAATGTCTGGGTACGAAAATTTGAATGTGATTTTTTTTAAACCTCCAGTTTCCAGAGCGCTCCAGTAGTGAATTAGTTCGACGAACTCATAGCAAACAAACAGTTAATCCTTTCAGCGACCATTTTGACGGGTTTGGGGCATGCCTCTTTACAATGCTTTATATTATAATAAGTACATTCAGAGTGATTTTATTTCAATCATATGACTGTGATTTTAGTGACAGTATAACTTACATGACAAATAACCATATTCAATCTCATTGTTTTGTGAAGCACGATTTAATTAGATAATCAATCAAATAAATGTTTTGTTTACTTTGAAAATAAATGTTATGTTCATTATTGAGAACTAATGCACATGCCTTCTATGACATGTTGCTAAATCCTTTACCATCAGTTGCTTTTTAGGCTCCTACTGGTGAAAAAAAAAGGGTTGAAAGAAATACCTTTAGGTACAAAAACAAACAACCAATAACCAAAAAACATGTGCATGTTATTGTATCGGATCTGTTTTTAATTATGGTCGGAAATCTACATTCCAAACCAAGTGCACGCCGTAATTCCATACTTCATGTTACGAGATGATTTTTAAATAGATAAATAAATAAATAAATAGACCTAAAACGAACTAAGCTTTGAAATTTCAATGGGAGATCTAGGATGGGCCCCAGCATTAGATCGCTTAAATTGGGAACCCAGACCATTCTCTATTGAGACCCTGTTATGTTAGACCCTTTTTCATCCCCAAAGATTTCGAGGTAGCATTTAACCCTCTCGCCCTTTATAGAAACAGACTTAGAAGCGGAATGAAAAAAAAAAAAAATAAAATAAAAAAAAACATTATTAATTTATGTGCCTTACATATTATAATAGAAATTACATTATCTACTGTTTTTTCCCCTGCATGGGCAAAACCCAAAGTTCTCCAGTTTTAACTAGTTAGAATTAAAATTCAAACAAATTAATAAAATGAAGTCAATATGGTCATCATTTTTATTTAGATATATTTTAATTAAAATTGAACCAAATATGAATATGTCATGAAACGATTTTTTAAGTGAAGAATTTCTGAACGAGTGACACAAGAAAGTTATTACATTCTCATTATAAACGTGATTGTGATTTTTAGAATATAATAACCGCGAGATGCATTAGTTGAGATCTCCAAGTCAGTCTAGACACATTTCACAACTTGGGGCTCCACGGAGGTGAGTCACTCGAGGTCACTCATCCGGGTATTTTACAAAAGGGTAGCGACCCAGACGACAGCGCTGTGATTGGCCGAGCGGCTTCATGACGTCACAGGGTTGACATGTAAGCACAGCCAATATTTGCATGGCAACCGGCCTCCATTATCCTCCGTTTGAAAAAAATAGCAACAAATTGTTTGGCTGTGGGAATAGGTAGCGACAAGATTCCTTGGAGATTGGACGCTTTAGATTCCATTCTCTACACTGACTGATGGACAAGAGCTATGGTGAAGCGATCGAGTAGGTTTTAACGTTAGATTTTATCTTGTTTCCTGCTGTGATCGAAAGAATGTCTACTCGTTTGGTAAAACCTATGCCCGTACAACGGACACGTTCTTTGATCGGAAATACAGACAATTTTATTGACAAACCGAACATGCATTTACCGCCTATTACCAGTCAGACGGGTATAGGGAGTACTGCACAAGGCCACCATCACGTCGGAGGACAGGGACTGAAGGTACAGCAGTTATACGATAATCATCATGACCACAAACACATACAAAATGGCGGGGATCAACAGAATAATAACCCCTCACAGTCGCAAGGTATCCGTCCAACGAGCGTAGGAAGCTCTGGGAGTAATCGTGGATCGGCGAGAAAAACAGCAATGACCCCTGAGACTGCTATGAAACAGTATATGCATAAACTTTCCTCCTTTGAGCATCATGAGATATTTAATTATCCTCAAATCTATTTTGTGGGTCAAAATGCCAAGAAACGCCAAGGTGTAACAGGAGGGGCTGGGAACAATGGTTATGATGATGACCAAGGCTCCTATATCCATATTCCACATGACCATATATCCTATCGGTATGAAGTTTTGAAAGTTCTCGGCAAGGGTAGCTTCGGCCAAGTTGTTAAGGCATATGATCACAAAAACAATGCCCACGTTGCCTTGAAAATGGTACGAAATGAGAAACGATTCCATAGACAAGCTCAGGAAGAGATCAGGATTTTAGAACATTTGCGCAAACAGGACAAGGAAAATAACATGAACGTTGTACATATGAATGAACATTTCAATTTCCGTAATCATATATGCATCACATTTGAGCTTCTAAGCATGAACTTATATGAACTGATCAAAAAGAACAAATTCCAGGGATTCAGTCTACAACTGGTACGCAAGTTTGCTCACTCCATCTTGCAGTGCCTGGACGCCTTATACAAGAACCGCATTATTCACTGTGATCTTAAGCCTGAGAACATTCTGCTGAAACAACAGGGTCGCAGTGGAATCAAAGTCATTGACTTTGGTTCAAGTTGCTACGAGCACCAGCGCATCTACACGTACATCCAGTCCCGTTTCTACAGAGCACCCGAAGTGATCCTTGGATCGAAGTATGGCATGCCTATAGATATGTGGAGCCTGGGCTGTATCCTGGCTGAGCTCCTCACCGGATACCCTCTGTTCCCCGGGGAGGAAGAAGGAGACCAGCTTGCCTGCATAATAGAGCTCCTAGGTATGCCACCTCAGAAGCTGCTCGATCAATCCAAACGTGCCAGAAACTTCATCAGTTCCAAAGGGTTCCCCCGCTACTGCACTGTCGTCACACAGGCGGATGGACAAACGGTAATGTCCGGAGGGCGCTCAAAGCGTGGGAAGGCGCGGGGACCACCAGGCAGCAAGGAGTGGTCAGCTGCATTGAAAGGTTGTGATGATCCGCTGTTTCAAGATTTCATGCGCCGTTGCCTGGAGTGGGACCCTGCAACGCGGTTGACCCCAGCACAGGCACTGCGACATGCATGGCTGCGACGCCGCCTTCCCAAAGCACCAAATGAGAATGCGACGAGAAATACGTCGGCTACAGGCAGTGGGATCAAGCTGCCTAATGGAATTCCCAGTGGTAAAAACCGAATTCCACCCATTTCTGAGGACCCTGCTCTCAACACCAGGACTAAATTACCACAAATAGGCTCAACATCATAAGGATTACCATATCCTTAAGTGCAAGTATATCAAAAATGTGCATTTTAACTGAGGAAAAAAAAAACATTCAGGAATACTGTCTAAAATGGAATGGATAATTTCCATTTGAGGGTGATGAGAAAAAAATTCAATTAAATCAGCCGTCCATTTATTGACAAAAAAGTGATCTCTGTTTGAAGCCTGCACCACCACTAGTAGAGATACATACTTAATTAACGACTATTGGAGAACTATAATGGAAAGTATTATGAATCGGTGATGAAAGGATGGACTGTGATGTTATTCTGTATATTAGCGCACGACTATAGGAACATTGTGTACATAACAAACAAAACCAAACTCCTTTTTTATTAAGAAGTCATCCGGTGTTGTCTTATCTACATTGGAGCTCCCCCAGAGACTAGTAATGCACAATAATGGGGGAACATTTTAATTAATGCTAGGAGATTCTACTGCCATATCTTGGGTTAAAGAAACAACAGCAAGAGACTGCTGAGTAATATTTCACAGGCACTGGTCCTTCTTTATTTAAGTTTATATATTAGGAAGCTGTTTTTCAATGCAATTCAATAATGTTCTCTTCAATGTTGACCAATTTGTGAGGTGAGTTTTTAGTTCAAATTTCATTTTAGAATCAAAAGATCCTGTTAGCTTGAGGGGTTTTGTTGAGTATGGATTTTTTTCCCTTTACAATAAGCATAGGCACTATTGTGTCTGCGCAAAGTTTTATCGCTTTTACCATTATAGTGTACACATTCTCTTTTGCATTATTGAAAAGGTTGGGGCCATTCTGGTTTCTCAGATGTGCCGTCATTTTACACAAATTGATGCTGGTATACAAAGTTGCTTGGTTACTAGGCTTGCTTCAGCTGTTTGCATCAGATTGCAGTAGACAGAACAATTTATTACGATTTTTTTTCACATGATATCCTGCATGTCCAGGGAGTAGGAGTAAATTGGATGTTTTTTATCAGATTGACTTTTATTGTCATTATAAGATGATTAATCTACACCAATATTATGGAATCTGCCGAGTATTGCAAAACGCCATTGCTCATTTTTAGTTGATAATCGGTTTTTATGTTTTGCTGATAGTGCATGGTCTACGGAAACAAGTCTCAGAACAAGGATAGTTTTAGAATGTACCGAGCATTTCTAGAATGTCAAGTGTATACACGGTACTTTTTAAAGTGGTAAAGTAGGGAAAAAAATCAATAATGAGAACTGCTGTCTACACATGCCCAACAATCACCTATTCGAAAGCCAGCTTGCTGGGTCTGCAAAATTGACTTGAGAGTCCAGCTGTGGGTCATACACGGCTATTATTCATACAGAAATGATTACAGAATTGATAAGGCAACCTACTCTCATTGTATCATGTTTATAATGGTCCATATGCGAAGACTGGAAAGAGCGGGCGGGGAAATCGAATTGAATTAAGAGATCTGTGATGTTTTTATGACAACTGCTGATGGTTTATATAAATTTAACAGGGCCTGTTTTTTTTTCCTCTCGGATTATACAGTGACAGTCTCAGTGACCTAATAAGATCAGACAGACTGAATAGACCTGTAGCACTTTCCTTTATTTATTTGTGTTCCATTTGGCAGCCAGTCCTGTCTAGGTATCCTTAGGATAATATCCATGCCTTTGTTCATACTACACTGCCGAGTAGTGAATGGACTGGGAGCTACCTGTGGTTAATTACAAATTCATGGTGGTAATATTAACCCATAGCTGGAGGGAGACAGGTAGCCGAGTGCCAACCTCGGTTCATTCTGCACGATTGTCACCCGGTTAATTCATAATCCAGAAATTGAGGGGAAAATTCAAGTTGAAAAATTCCACACCTTGACTAACTTGATTGTGTCAGTCTCAGTGTGGAGTCAAGCTTTGATGTCACGGGCTGTATTGACCTTAAGTCTTATCTAATCTTTAGACTTTGATGAATAACCAGAGAGCCTTATAGAATCCTACCTGTATGGACCGTAATTACTTCAATTAGTGCATCCCCAAGCAATTGTGAATTCTTTGCTTATTGTTAACCTACTAGCAATTACCTGTATATATATATATATATATAAATCTAAGTAAGGAAATATGAGTTCAGACTGTTGATCACCATCACATGAGCTGCTGTTAATGACACAGAAATGCCCCTTTCTATTGTGCTCTTTTTCTTCAAAGGGACTAGTATGAACCCTCTCATGTGTAGGTCTCAGCTGCAATATCTAGCAATACTCAGTTTTGCAAAAATTGAAGCAAATGTAAGAGCAGATGGGAGAGGGTTTATGTATTTTTTTTTTTTGGGGGGGGGGAGGGGGTCTATTCTGCTTCCCTTCAACAACTGACAATTTCCTCAGCAAGTGCTCAAATGTAAATACTGAATGAGTATATATTGTATAGAAATCTATTATATAAGTGAAAGAGGAATATTTTTGTACCTAGACCTGGTATGTCTAGAGTCACACAAAAATTTAAGTCTCACGTGGAAGTAGAGTGTGCAACAATTTCTGGAAGCTAGACTACAAAATGCCAAGCACTACAAATAGAATACTGAAGAACACGGTTGAGTTTTTATTTTTGAAGGGGTCAACATATAATTGGCTCTTCACCTGGCCATATCTACGGCCCTCTGAATGTTTGGTTTAAACTATCAGTTCTATCTGTGTATACATGCAGAGATATGGGCTGATTTTTTGTAGTGAGCTTGAATGCCCTGTGCTTTACGACACTGGATAAATAACACCTTCCAGACCCTGTAAATATCACTCGTATTAATTAAGACAGGTGAGGTTTGATGAAGAAAATACAACCCCCACCTGAAATATTAGTTGAAAGTGGACACTGCTTTCATGCTGTTGTTATAATATCATTGTTTTTTATTGCTATTGGTATGATTCATTTTATTGTTTTATTTATCTTTTTACTCTGGAAAATGTGGTTATTACATAATACTACTCTTTCAAAAGCAAAACAAAAAAATGTGAAAATCGTAAGTAGATGTTACAGTACAACTGCGTGAAATCTGTATTCCCAACCTTGGAAATGTGATTTAGTCAAAGATTAAAGACATTTTCATAAGTATCGTGAGTCTTTGTTATTTATTTTTCTTATATATGTTAACATATTAAATTTGGGAGTACCAATGCTTAACCAGACATTAACACCTGTCTTCAGTCTCCTCAAATTACCTGTATTAACGAGCAGGTAATATACACAGTTGGGTTGATATCTTTTTATGACCAAAGGTGACGTGTAACTTTCCTTATCATAAAGAATAAAAAGTTCATTCTTATCCCAACGTGCAAATGAAACAATGTCCAGAAGCCATTTCATAAGTGATTCTTATTTCAATACGGCTTTCAATTTGTCAGCACAGCAAGGTCAGGCATAGCACTATTCTGGGGTCAAACAAAGCAGGCTGGAAGAAAGTGGGCCATAGAAATCTTACCGTCAGAGAAGCTATTTGAAAGAATATCAGTTTTATTGATTTTCACCCGTTCACGCCGTTGAATAATACTAGTTGCAGTCTGTATTCATGCTCTTCTAACTTTGGTATGATTTGTCAGTGTGGAAACTGTTCAGTGTTTTAATATGATTATTCAGGTCCCTAGCCTTTTGACCAGAAAAAGGTTTGCTTAGAATCCAAAATTTGATCTAGATTTTATGCCAGTTCGTAAGTTGGGTCAAGTAAAGGGGTGAAAAAGACCCCCCCCCCCCCCTCTTTCAAATGGCTTGCCACAGGCCTGACAATCTTGATTAGTTATTGAAGAAAAAAAAGTAATTTGGGGAAAGGCATTTAGTACAATTATCCTGCCCTTGTTAAATTTATCTGGAGCAGTTGCGTCTTTTGGGATACTTGTATGTATTATTGATCAAGTCACTGTTCACCTATAACTATTGGACTTTACATGATTTTCATCACTTTAATTTTGACCTGTGCCCTCGGGTTAAAAAAATTGGGTACTTTTGATGGATAACAAATACTTCACCAGCTTTTTGAAAAAAGAATACCACTGGCAGGTGATACAGTAAGGAAAAGGCCCACCACCCCTTCAGTTTTTTTACACCTGAAAGGCCCCATATTAAACTGTGTTTGCAGTTTATCTCTATACTGACTGGGCGGAGAGGTCCACCTGCCCAGTTCTGGGTCAGTGCACAAGGCAGAGATAATAGCCAGTGGTCATCTAAGTACAGGATATGAAGGGAATCTGGACGGACACCCAGGCCAGCCCATTGTTGGAGTGGGGGCGTCTCGATAGTCCGAAATTTCATCGGTTCGATGGTTCATTGGTCTGAATGATAACATTTTCATCGTTTTTTTTAAATCAAGGATTCATTGGTCCAAGGTTCTATAGTGAACATTTGGACCAATGAACCTTCGGACTATTGAACCTTTGGACTGTGTCGACTATTGCTACGGCCCTGTTGGAGTAGAAAAGACCAAGGCTGGAAGGGGTAATGTTTTGTCCGTTGCGGTGGCCCTGTTAACATCCAAATGCACATGTCTTCACCACTTTACTCTTCTTCTGTCTGCCAGAAAAAAATATAAATTGAATTTTAACCACTACATTACAGTGTGCTGAAGCATTAATCTGATCAGTTTATGACGCATATTGGGGCCATTTTTAGTCTCAGATATTCTTGTATTGTACACAAATCTTAACACAGGGGCTGGGGAGGGGGGGGGGGAAGGTCAATGAAGCCAATGTAAGTGACTGGTATTGTGAGTGTTGTGATCAGTGTATTATAAAGAGATCAGTCACAGGATTTAAGATGCCATTAACTTAAACTAACAAACTTAATTATAAACATCCAAACTAACAAAGAATGGACTCCTGAACTGATTTCCCCTCTCTCAGCAAGATTCATCAATGATTCCTCTAATGATTCCACCAGTGTTCAGCTAATTCCCCTGGTGGGACAAACAACATTATCTTCATTAGTATCATGAAGCCCACACGGTATTGCTATATTTAACCAGGTAGTTGGCTTAGTTATCGATATTCATTACTGAATCATTCTGTTAAGTTGTAATTTTTTGCGCCAGATGTCCTTTGATAAGTATCATAAGATTGGGCTGGCATATTATGCAATTATGTTCCAAGATTTGGCAGATCAGCTTTTATTGAACAATTTATGTAAATTGTCATTCCCCTAAAGGAGCTTTTTTACTATGAAATTAAACATAATAATATTATGTTTATATTTTTTTTTCCTTTGGTTGATTTTGTTTTTTTGTCTTAAAAGTTAAAAGAGAAAGTCTTTCATTTTACAGTGAAAAGTTACAACAATAAATAAATAAATAAAATAATGAATAAATAAAAAGAGAAAAATTATTCTGTTCAAAATATTTGTAATTTATTTTTAAAAAATCTGTAATGCAACAACCAAACCTCTCACCAAGGGTCAAATATGCAAGAGCTTTCTTGGCTCAATGTATTTTTCAATTGATTTTTCTACAGCTGTCTCCCAACTGTATAAAAAATATGCTTAGTCTCGATGTCTTTTCAAAAGGACAAACATCTGATTTGATTTTGAAAATGGAATTTGCTGATGAAATCAGAATCAGCTGGGTGCCTTTTTTTTTTGGGGGGGGGGGGGGGGAGCAAAAACATTTAAAGTCTTTACCCAGTTAAGAATACCAATGTTAAATTGAAACACTTATTTATGTGTATACAGTAACTTTCTAAAAAAAAAAAAAAAGATTTAGCCCCAACAACTTATTACATTTTCCCACTCACCCTCTCTCTCCCTCCCTCTCTCTCTCATTTTGGAAAATGAATTCTAGCAGCTTCTAAAATAGCACTCTGTTATATTCTATTCTAAAGTGATGCGTTGGGTAATCACCCTATTTATTAAATTGGTTGATTGGTAAACCCATACAAATGGACAGTAGCTTAAAACGACAAATCTGTAGTATGATGCATGGATAAATATTTCTCCAGTCATCGCCTTGACTCCCCTGGCTATTATACAAAGGAAATCAATGCTATTGATTCTAATGTACACTTGCAAAGTAAACTTTGTCTTCTAGCATTGATTGTACGGGGAAAAAGCATTACTGGCCATGCTCGAAATCTAGCAGCCATTATCTACGGCATGCTTCAAAAGCCAATATTTCCTTAAAATGCTGTTTTGGGTGAAAGCCCCCTCCCCCTCCCCCACCCCCTCCTCCCTCTAAAACAAACTTTTGAAATTCTTATACAGTCACACTAAAAAAGACATAAAGGAGCAAAACCTGGACAAATTTACATGGAGAGAGAGAGTGAGAGAGGTTTGGTGTATTAGTTCTATGTTCATTTCCTCTCGTTCCAGTAGTAACTGAATGAAAGCAATATACATCTATTAAGATTCCAAAAACCGACCTCAATTTTCTCAAGGGGAGAGATGCTGATAGCATTTCAGACAATGCACGCTGTTAATTACTAATGCATCACTTTGCATTATTCATGAGGCTTGGCGTAATACTTCCAAACGACTTTTCTCCCCAGTCTGAAGTCTACTTAATGGATCAGATGGATCAATGAAAGCTGCTACGCCAAGCTTTTGTGTTCTTACACACCAGCCCTCACGGAGGTATTAATTAATTGAACCCTCTGATCCCACATATAAGAAAGTGCTGTATATTCATAAGGGAAGAGGGACTAGGGGTACGGGATCTACATGTACATGTACAAAGTTTTCCAATATCTCTCTGCCTTCAACCCCATTCACATATATTCATGACTCAATCAACTCTCTTCAGAAGCACTGTCCTTCTTAATTAGGGTAACTTTTTCATAAAGATGCTGCTCACTCTTCAAAACAGACACACAATGTGTAGACTTTTAAGTGGCCTAACACACACAGACACACACACTAAGAAATTTGTCACATGCTGTAAATTCAGTGCAATGCAATCAACTCAAATGATGCAATGCAATCAACCACCAAACAATCCAACTGATTCTTATAACAACACAGCTTGGGAGACTTTGGAATAAGATCAAATCCATATGGATGTTCACTTTCTCCATTCCTACAGAGATACCAGTATCTGAGTGATAACCTTGTCACCATCCTATCTGTAAATTAAGTAACCAAACCAGGTAAATCTCAGGTATGAGATTGTTGCAATTATGGCTTACTTAGACTGAACTTACCACCAGTGTAAATTGTTTGGTAAAGTGTTAATCTTGTGTATTTTTACAAACTGTGTGAATCATGGAATATATCATATCTATAGTTATTTCAGAGGTGGATGTAAGAGTGTAACATGGTATTATATAATAAACTGCACAAGCCCATTGTCATATGATATATACTACGTAATGCTGTGTGTCATTATAAGCTAAGGGACTGTGTCATTTTGGTGGTAGCATATTGAGTTACCTTCTGTGTAGATAGGACCGCAGAAAGCAGCGTTGCACTTGCTGTATACAATACAATCCTTGTCACGTACGTGGCCCATGTAAAAAAAAAAAAAAAAAAAAAAAAAAAAAAAAAAAAACAGAAGAGAGGCTTTAATTTCTCGGTTTAAAAAAAGCTCAAAAGTGGATGTCAATGTGTTGTTTACAGTAGAAGTTTTAGGAAGTTGTCCTCTATATAGTAGTGCAGGTTGGGTGGTGCCTACATACATTCATTTAGCTATGTTCAGAACTAGGTCCATGAATTCTGACACTGTTGATTGGTGTCAGACATGCTATCCTGACTTTCATTTATTGTTACACATTTGAAATTATAAAAATAAAAAAGAAGAGAAATAAGTTGTTTTTAAATTTTTTTAAGCGTTAAGAGATCAGAATCATATCTGCGTTTTTTTTTTCGAGGTCTGAGTTATCAAATTATCTATGATATGTTTTTCTTCTTTAGACAGACCTCTGCATATTTGTACCCGGGTGCCTTAGCCCATGTCCTGTGATAAAATACAGATAAAATTATTTTTGTTCTTCATAACAGGAATCAAGTTATGGATGATGGTTTACATCTTATATATCGTGACACACCTAGAGTGTTTATGAAAAACATTTCAAAAATGGAACGTCATTTCAGCATTGTTTTTAAACTTTATCGCAGCAGTCAATATTAATGTGTTTTCTGGTT